TTATTTTATCTTCTTTGATATGAACCAAGATTCCTATTAGCTTTATTGCGAACATCTTATGCACTGTTGTCTTGGTTTCAGATTACTGCTAACCAGAACTCCTAAATCTTTTTCGCAATCCGGAATATTAAGATCCTACATTATTTATTTATATGTGGCAATGGTTATTGTCCTGTCCAACTTTTAGAAACTTTGCATTTGTCTATATTATACTGATCGCCACTTCTCTTCCGACCACTGATCAGTCCCATCAAATCTTCCAGAGTGCTCAATGTCCTCGTCAGAATGACTTCGACGCCTATTTTGTGTCATCGGCAAACTTGCCGATGTCGCTCTTTATGCCCTCATCTATGTCGTTATGTAGATGTAACCAGCAGGGGGCCCAACACTGACCCCTGAGTAACACCGCTCGTGACGCTACCACCACCACCCCCACTCTGATTTCTCCCATTTTATGCAAACTCTCTGCTGCCTATTTTGTCAACCATGCTCTATCCAGGAAAAAATTACTCCTCCTATTTCATGTGCTTTAATTTCCTCATAGTCTCTGATGTGGGACCCGTCAAAAGTACCCCCCCCCCCCCACCCCCCATTACTGAAATCCATATACACAATATCATATTCATACCATGATCTACCTCCTCAAATACCTTAGAGAAAAAAGATAATAAATTCGTAAGGCAGAATGCCCCTTTGTAAAACCATGCGAGATTCGTTGATTAATTTATCTTTTTTCAAGGTGGCCTACCAAATGCCTCGCAATTATTGATTCCATAAATTTTCCCACTATGGAGGTTAGGCTTATTGGTCTTAGTTCGAAGCTAAGGACCTGTCTCCTGTTTTGAAACTAGGTATCACATTGCATTTTTGCCACTTATCTGGCACCTATGCAGTTTTGTAGTGATATGTTGAAAAATTAGCCAAGGTGTCTAAGCTCCTCTTTACATTCCTTTAGAACCCTTGCATACAATTCATCAGGGCCTGGGATTTGTTAGGTTTTAATTTATCTATTTGCCTAAGGACCATGTCACTTGTGACCCTAATATTGCAGCAGTTTTATACGTCCGTTCTAACATAATTTATCATTCCTGATATCGCGGTATCCTCTGTGTAAAAAACTGAGAGGAAGAATGTGTTAAAAATTCTACACATTTCCTTATCACTGTCAGTGAAGCTGAACCCCGAGGAACTTTTTGAGTGGGCCTATCTGTCCCTGATCTTACTTCTGATACCTGAAAGAATCCTTTTGGTTAGTCTTTTCGATTCTCTTGCAACTTTAACCTCAAATCTCTTTTTGCTTTTCTAATTTCCCTTTTTTATTCTCTCTTAACTGAATATATCGATATCTTAATTGTCCCCTCTCCTCTTTTGATTTGCCTATATATGCCTCTCTTTTGACCAATCAGATATTTAAATCTATTGTTCATAGCCATTTAGATCATTTTGTTTGATCTGATTTCCCTATTTGGAACATAATTTTGACTGAGCAGCTAAAATATGCCTTGGAAAGCATCTATATCGGCAACCATCACCACCTACCTGACCCTTAGTCAGGGTCATTCCAGTTCAGCCCACCTAAGTAATTTTTCAGTCTTCCTATGAAATCAGCCAAGCGAATAGTCAGGGACGGAGACTTATTGCCATTATTAGGGAATTCCCATGATATATTTAAAACTGAGTGATTTTGATCACTCTCCCCCAAGTTTCATCATTTGAAACTCAAGATTATTAATTAGTGTTTCCCTACTGCAAGAACCAGTCAAGGAGGTTATTTCCCCTAGTTGGTGCTCTGTCACAAACTGTTTTAAATAAACAATCAGGATCGTAATCAAGAAATCACCCGACTCTAAATTTCCTGTCAAATTGCTCCATCAATCTGTCATAGTTGAAATCTCCCATAAGCACAACATTTCTTCGTATGTAGAGCTTACGAATTTCGCCCATAGAAGTTTACTGCACTCCCTATCAAGATTTGGGGCCCTGTAAATCACACCCAAAATTAGTTTTTCTCGCCCTCGAAAGCGTAACCAAACAGATTCAGTGCTGACGCTTCTAATTTAATATCTTGTACTAACACAACAATTTAAATTGTCTCTGACTTACAATCGCTACTTCCACCACCTTTCTGTTGACCCTGTCAGTTTGGACTAATTTATAGCCTGTATGTGGACATTCAGAAGTGCATCTCTCTATCTTTCAGATTGAGCCAGTCTCATTATAGCAATAATATCTATGTTTCCTCCTTGCAATTAATCTTACTCATCTATCTATTTCAACACTCCTGCTATTAGTATAGTAAACCCTAAGGGAGCTAGTCCCTTGCTGCCCTCTGCTGTCCCCCTTTGTTTGGCTGACCTGTTCTATGTCTTTATTATAACTTCATGCTGAATGCCTTTTATACATTTACTGTTTCCAACCCTATTGCTTGCAACCTGCTTGTTTCCCACACACACCCATACCTCTATCTCCATCAGTTTAAAAATCATAGGCATTCACGCAATGGCATTCTCAATCGAGTCTGCAAGTGCACCAACCCCGGCCCAGAGAGATGTACCCCATCCCTTTCATACATATCATTCTGGCCAAAAAAGTTTGTTCCAGTTGTCAATGAATGGGATTGCAAGTTCCTTGCGTATCTGTCTAACCAGCAATTTTAACCACCAATTGCCCTAGACAACCATTCATTCCTACTCCCCTTCTAGACAAGATGCTACATATGATTGGGATCCCTCCCTTAACTTAATGAAATCTATAGCTGAACCTGTACTTATCTAGCAGCTCTTCTCTCCTTAAACCTTCCCAATATCATTTCCACCAGCACTGAGACAGATAATGGGCTTGTTCCCATTACCTGAACAGATTTATCCAGCCTGTTGACAAGTCCCCAACACCAGCTCCAGGGAAGCACACTCTGCTATCTCTCATCTTCTTATTTTCTATTTCAAAAAAGCACGTCATATATCTTACTAGAGTCACCAACCACAAGAATGCGCTTACCTTCATTAGCAGGGGCAGTAGTACCCTTACTCTTCACTGGCCACTGAAGTACATTCATCCTGGAGAACAGAGAAGCGATTTCCTACCTTCAGATCTTCACTCTTAATTTCCTGACTCTGGAAAAAAATGCGCTTCCATTACGTGAACAACTCGCCACTTTAGCAGGTGCTGGGCTGCACCTCACTGCTGGTAGACGTTGCTACCTGCCCAACTTCAGCCTCCTCACAGCGAGAGACAGACTGCACCTCACTGCTAGAAGTCTCATTCCCACAACTCCAGCCACCTCACACTCTCTCCCAGACCCATTGAGGTGGACCTTCAGCCTCCTAATCTCCTCCTGAGAAGCAAGACCTCCTCCTTCAAAAACTCTCCAACCTCATTTTTATAAAACACTGCAGAAGCAAGCATGCTTTGTAACGTCCACGCTAATCCCCAAAGCAGCTCAGGGTCTGTGACCTCACGTGACGACTGACCACTGACCACTCCACTCGGCCAGTAGCTGGATGTGTACTCTACCCTGTCAGTATCGGAATGTGTCTCTGCCCTGCCAGTATCTGGATTGTGTACCTTCCCTGCCAGTATCTGGATATGTACTCTCTCTGCCAGTATGCGATGTGTACTCTAACCCCTGTCAGTAACTGGATTGTGTTCTCCTCCCCCCGGCCAGTATCTGGAGATGTCAAGTGTAAGTCACCTAGGTATTTAAAGAAGTACAGCTCCTGAACCCAATGTTTCCCTTACGAGCGGTCCACATCGTCAGTGTCTCAGAGCATCGTGAATACTGTGATCATGTCCCTCGATCTAGTATTTGTATTTTGGTCGTGTCCCCTCTCTGAGTTTTCTCTATGGTGATACGACATTCGTGTCACGAGAAATGGCTGGTGGCCACCAAATTTTACCGTTATCAACTGTGTTGGTAGATAATGTTAGTGCATTTCCATATGGTGCTTCATGCTCGAACACTGGTTGGTAGGAATGTTTGTCTCTTTTCCAAAGGTCTTGGGAGGGTATACCACACTTACCAAGGCAACAAATGCTACACATGTTATCAAGTGATGAGCATCTCAGCCATTGTGCCTTCTCAGTACCATTGATAACACCCATTTGTTCTCCCTGTATCCCATTTTTCACGTTCTTGTCTATTAGAAGCAACCAATAACCTCTTGAGTTTTCTGTCTCGATTGGGTTGTTACTGAGCACGGAGACGAAACCTTGAGACGATGTTACGGTCACTTCTAGACCATTATCACGTGCTTGATAAATGGTTTGCAACGAGACTGTCTCCAGAAGTTAAGGGGCATGTCCTACGAGGAGAGTTAAGGGGAATTAACCTGACGACACTGGTAGGAGGGACGGGGGAGGTGGACATGGATAACAACACATAAAATACTAAGAGGAATCGACAAGCTGACAGGGACAGATATTTTCAGAGATGGGACACATCAATAAGGGTCACAGTTGGAAGTATTTTCTTCGTCACAGAGTGGTCAAAAGGTGTATAGTCCCTGGAAATGGAGGTGGTGGTGGCAAGGATCATACATAACTTTAAGAAGAGGTATGATCTGGCTCACGGAGCAAGGAGTATCTAGTAGCGACCAGTGAAGAGGCGGGGTCAGGACTCTATGAATCACGCCCTGCAACCACAATTAAGGTGAGTAAACACACACACACTATTATAAATCAAAGTGGCCTGCTGCTTCACTTACCCTCGCGCACTTACAGTCACTTATTTTGAACATGTGGCAAATACTTACTCTGAGGCATCCTGCTTCCTCTTCCTCAACCACCAGAACAGCTTTGGCTTTGTTTCGCCTCAAGAAGCTGAAGGTGTCGGAGAAATAAAATGGAGATAAAAAGGTCTCTCTAAATAAATTCAGAAAAAACATCCCCGTGTCGGGCTCTGGGCCTGTTGGTTCCAGAGGATTATCGGCGAGCGATATTTTCGAGGGAACGATACAGAATGCCCGCAATAGCCGACCATAATTTATTTATCTTTCCGACAGAACCGACCACGGAGAATCTGAGGACAAGGAAAGAGCCGATATCTATGCTAGAGGAACGATTTAGATCCAGTAGCGAGGAAAGTAGAACCGAGAACCGAGAATTGATCAAGGATCCAGGACTGGTAGAGGTTCTTGTTCTTGTGTGAGAGTCTTAACACATTGACTTAGTCGTAAGGACTCGACTTATGTAGGAAGAAGACCTAGAGGAACCCACACGAATGAGAACCTGTTGCAATCAGTGGGTTTTGGTGTGGTGGGTGAAGGACTGTGGTGAAGCGGGAGGTTCAATGTTCTCCGCTTTCTTGGACTCTGACGAAGGTGGAAGGTTTGCGTGAGTGATGCGTGTGGTCTCTGGAGAACAGGCGGAGACATCTTGGAGGGTGAGCGTATTCCTTGGAGTTGAAGACGCGGCTCAGCATAACCATTGCCGGACTCTTGGGACAGACAAACCCTGAGTTTTAAAGGGGAGAATTAATAGGTTCACTCTTGGCTGAATCGGGCCGTTGTCAGAAAAAGCGTCCAGGGCTGAGGCGAGGGGAGGAGAAGGACCGGTGAACAGGAACCTTAGGTTGTGGAGAGGTCCTTGAGAACCTTTGCCCTTGCGACGTTCCTGGATGCTGTTCTTCCGCAGTCTAACTTCTCCAGGGGATACGTTAGCAATTTCAGTCTCTTCCTCATACTGCTGTATCTCACCTTCTTTCTCGTTTGTCTCCTCACACTCCTATTTTCCTTTTTCATTGACATTTGTATTTATATCTGGCAGAAGAGTTTCATTCTTTTTCTTGATTTGCTGCTGTTTCCGTTTCCCTTTCTCTCCTATTTCTTAATTTATCTTCTCGTTCACTTATCTTATCTGTATCTTCAGCATCTATTTTTCCCATTTTGTTCTTGTATCCTACCTTCCGTTCTTCCTTCATCAGTTACGTCACTCACATCTCTGTTATTTGGTTCCATTTTGAAGTATGTCTTCTGTGACCCTCCGCCTGCAGCCTGACGCTGGGGTGGCAGTGGGGATTTTTCCTTGTTTCGTAAGACCACAACATCCTTCGTCTCTGCGACATCCAGGTCGTCAATTACGGCCTCCGTCTCTGTCATCTCTCCCAGGCTGTTGTCACTAAAGATCTCAATACCTTGTGCTGGCTTTCTTTTTACCGAGATCAAGTCTGTTTTTTTCTCAGATCCCAGGCTTTGTGCTTCTTGGCAGGAACGAGGTTCTTGTGTTTCCCCGTCTTGCAGAGGCTTTCTCGGTTTTCTCTAATAACTCTCAACTATAGAGCAGCGCAACTGGCTGACTCCTGATCGAGCCTCAACCAATCCCCCATAAGCGTTGATGATTATCTATTTTCTGTCTTTTTGAGAACAGAAAATGATGGTTTGTCTTTCCTTGTCTCCAGGATTGTATCCCCAACTCTCACAAATATTGCTCAAAAAAACCAGTGGGTGTAAACTCCTGACAGACACCTGGCCGAGCTTCCCGGCGTAGGATCAAGCCTCGTTTATCTCCAAGTGCTGAGCGAGGACCATATGTTTCTGCTTTATTAAATACAATTCCATTCTGCATAACACTGACATTTGTTACTGTTATTTTACAAGTTGTTCTCTTTTAAACATTGTTTCTGTGCATGTTGTGGACATTTAAAACTTAATAACACTCGGCATGAGGTGACGGGAAAGTTTAATAAGAGATGTTTTTAAAGGCTGTTTGCCTCACATTAACTGTACCTCACGCTCACCAACATGACATCATCTTCACTATATAGATTTTCTCCTTTTCTTTCCTCAGAAGGCATCATTTTCACCTTCATCTTCGTCCTGTGGTGACTATGACACCTTCCAATGAAAACTTCATTTTAACCCGAAGAATGCAATATTATAAGAAAGTTTTTGTTTCAAAATAAAATTACATTTTATGAGCAGATCACTTTCATCAGCAGAACCTCATCTCTACGAGTTCACTTTCTCACATTTTCATAAGAAATTCTTCACTTTCACCACTAAAACAATCATATTCACTAATACACTCATGTTTCAATAAACAAGGAAATTCAGGTTATAATACTTAAAACCGTTAAGTATCACAAAACTTTAAAGACGTAAGAAATGGACATTTAAAATAATGGAGAGAGAGAGACAGAGAGAGAGAGAGACGAGCTACGAGGGGCTGTTCTCCCCGACTACTGTACAGAGGATAACACCTTGCTCCTTCTGTTCTCCTGGATGCTCTCCCTGGCTTCCTGCCTGGTGTCCCCTGTTGTTTTTCCTAGTGTTCTGCATGGGATTATGCTGTTCTCCTGGGGGTTTTCCCTGGTGTCCTGCCTGGGGTTTCTCCCTGGTGTCATGCCTGGTGTTCTCCCTGGTTTTCCTGGTGTTCCCCCTGGTGTTCCTCCCTGGTGTTTCCTGGTGTTATCTGGTGTTTCCCTGGTGTCCTGTGGTTTCTCCTGGTGTCATGCCTGGTGTTCTCCCGGGTTTCCTGGTGTCCTGCCTGGTGTTTCTCCCTGGTGTCTCCCGGTGTTCTCCCTGGTTCCTGCCTGGTGTTCTCCCTGGTGTCCTGCCTGGTGTTCTCCCTGTGTCATGCCTGTTCTCCCTGGTTTCCTGCTGGTGTTCCTCTGGTGTTTTCCCGGTGTTCCCCCCTGGTGTTTTCCCTGGTGTCATGCCTGGTGTTCTCCTGGTGTCTGCATGGTGTTTCCCTGGTGTTTGCCTGGTGTCTGCCTGGTGTTCTCCCTGGTGTCCTGCCTGGTGTTCTCCCTGGTTCCTGCCTGGTGTTCTCCCTGGTGTCCTGCCGGTGTTCTCCTGGTGCCATCCTTTGGGGTTCTCCCTGGTGTCATGCTGGTGTTCTCCTGGTGTCATGCTGGTGTTTTCCCTGGTTTCCTTGCCTTTTTTTCCTGGTGTCCTGCCTGGTGTTCTCCCAGTGTATGCCTGGTGTTCTTCCTGGTGTCATGCCTGTTTCCCTTGGTTTCTCCCCGGTGTTGCTGGTGTTCTCCCTGGTTCCTCTGTGTTCTTGGTGTTCTCCTGGTGTTCCCTTTTCCTGGTATTCTCCCCGGTGTCATGCCTGGTGTTCTCCCCCGGTGTTCTCCCGGTGTCCTGCCTGGTGTCCGCCTGGTGGGTTTTCCTGGTGTCCCGCCTGGGGTTCTCCCTGGTGTCCTGCCTGGTGTTCTCCGTCATGCCTGGTGTTTTCCCTGTTGGTGTTTCCCTGGTGTCCTGCCTGGTGTTCTCCCTGGTGTCATGCCTGGTGTTCTCCCTGGTGTCCTGCCTGTTCTCCTGGTTGTCTCCTGGTGTTCTCCTAGTGCTGCCTGGTGTTCTCCCTGGGGTCCTGGGTGTTCTCCCTGGTACCTGCCTGGTGTTCTCCCTGGTGTCCTGCTGGTGTTCTCCTGGTGTCCTGCCTTGTTTCCCCGGTGTCCTGCTGGTGTTTCCCTGGTGTCATGCCTGGTGTTCTCCCTGGTGCCTCCTGGTGTTTCCTGTGTCATGCTGTGTTCCCCTGGTGTCCTGCTGGTGTCCTGCCTGGGTTTTCCTGGTGTCCTGCCCGGTGTTCTCCCTGGTGCCTGCTTGGTGTTCTCCCTGGGGTCCTGCCTGGTGTTCTCCCTTGGGGTCCTGCCTGGTGTTCTCCCTGGTGTCCTGCCTGGGTTCTCCCTGGTGTTCAGCCTGGGGGTTCTCCTGGTGTCTGCCTGTTCTCCCTGGTGTCCTGCCTGGTGTTTCTCCTGGTTCCTTTCCTGGTGTTCTCCCTGGTGTCCTGCCTGTGTTCCCTGGTTCTGCTGGTGTTCTCCCTGGTGTCCGCCTGGTGTTCTTCCCTGGTGTCCTGCCCGGTGTTCCCCTGGTGTCCTGCCTGGTGTTTTCCTCCTGGTGTCCCCGCCTGGGGTTCTCCATAGTGTCCTGCTGGTTCTCCCTGGTGTCTGCCTGTTCTCCTGGTGTCCTGCCTGGTGTTTTCCCTGGTGTCCTGCCTGGTGTTCTCCCTGTGTCTGCCCGGTTTTCCCTGGTGTTCCTGGTGTTCTCCCCGGTGTCCGCCTGGTGTTCTCCTAGTGTCTGCCCGTTCCCGCCGGTGTTCTCCTGGGTCCCCCTGGTGTTCCCTGTGTCTCGGTGTTCTCCTGGTGTCCTGCCTGGTGTTCTCCCTCGGTCCTCCTGGTGCTCTCCCGGTGTTTTCCTGGTGTCCCGCCTGGGGTTTCCCCCCTGTGTCCTGCCTGGTGTTCCCTGGTTTTCCTGCTGGTGTTCTCCCTGGTGTCCTGCCTGTGTTTCTCCTGTGTCTGCCTGGTGTTTTCCTAGTGTCCTGCTGTGTTCTCCTTTTCCTCCTGGTGTCCCCTTGCCCCAGTGTTATGCTGTTCTGCTGTTCTCCTGGTGTCATGCCTGGTGTTCTCCCTGGTGTCCCACCTGGTGTTTCCCTGGTGTTCTCCTGGTTCTCCCTAGTGTCTTGCCTTGTTCTCCTTCTCCTTCCTGCCTGGTGTCCCCCTGTTGTTTTCCCTGTGGGTTCTGCATTTGGGATTCTGCCTGTTCTTCCTGGTGTCCTGCATGGTGTTCTCCCTGGTTTCCTGCTGGTGTTCTCCCCAGTGCCCCGTCTGGTGTTCTCCTAGTGTCCTGCCTGTGTTCTCCCTGGTGTCCTGCCTGGTGTTCTCCCTGGTGTCCTGCCTGGTGTTTCCCTGGTTGTCCTGCTGTTGTTCTATCTGGCTTGGGGTCCTGCCTGGTGTTCCCCCCTGGTGTCCTGCCTGGTGTTCTCCCTGGTGTCATGCCCTATGTTTCTCCTTAGTGCCCTGCCTGTTCTCCCTGGTGTTCCTGGCCTGGTGTTCTTCCTGGTGTCTCCTGGTGTTCTCCTGGTGTCCCGCCTGGTGTTTCCCGTGTCATGCCTGGTGTTCTCCTGGTGTTTCCTCTTCCTGGTGTTCCCCAGTGGCCCTTGGGTTCTCCCTGGGGTCTCCTGGGGTGTTTTCTCCTATGTCCTCTTTGGTTCCTGCCTGTTCTCCCTGGTGTCCTGCCTGTGTTCTCCCTGGTGTCCTGCTTGTTCTCCTGGTGTCCTGCTGGTGTTCTCCCTGGTTCGCCTGGTGTTCTCCTGGTGTCCTGCCCCTTTCCATGGTATCCTCCTGG